AGCGAAACTCCGTCTCAAAAAAAAAAAAAAAAAAAAAAAAGAGTATTAATGATCTATATATGATACATACATATATATATATATGATCTATGTATAATACATATATATTAGTGATCTATATATCATACAGTTTTAAGAATCTGCTTTTGTTTGGTTTCCTTACTCGTAGTGAGCTAATTGCCATCCAAGATCCCCACTCTTTGGGCTCTTCAAAAGCTGTCTTGAGAGAAGATGAGACAGAGTCCCCTTCCGAAAAAAAGAACTCACCTAAGAGTTTGTTAATCTATGAAGAGGCACCAACACTCAATGAAAAGGTTTGTATTTTGCTGAGAAATCCCCAGCTTCCCCAGCCAGACCTCTCACCAGCAGGCCTTTCCTGCTTCTCTAGTAACATTGTTAGCTTGCTTATTTTGGCTATTCCTCCAGTTTTTAAAATTCTAGGATTTTAAGATGCTTTTTTAAGGAAATCCTTTTATTTACTTTATTTATTTTTTGTTTGTTTTGTTTTGTTTCTTTGAGACAAGGTACTGTGTCACCCAGGCTGTAGTGCAGGGGTATAATCATGGCTCACTGCAGCCTCAACCTTCTGGGCTCAAGTGATCCTCCTGCCTCAGCCTCCCAAGTAGCTGGAACTACAGGCACATGCCACCACGCTGCCCAACTAATTTTCTTATTTTTTGGTAGAGACAGGGTCTTAATTTGTTGCCCAGGCTAGTCTTGAACACCTGGGCTCAAGTGATCTTCTTGCCTCAGCCTCCCAAAGTGCTGGGATTGTAAGTGTGAGCCCCTGTGCCGGGACTACCTTTTTCTCTTTCAAAAAAAAATTATGTGTGTGTGTGTGTGTGTGTGTGCGTATGGCAATTCGATACATGTTTATTGTTTAAAAAAAAAAGAAAAAAAGGAAGAAAAAGAAAAACAGATCAAAAGAATAATACAGAGGCTGGGCACAGTGGCTCATGCCTTGATCCCAGCACTTTGAGAGGCTGAGGCAGGCGGATCACGAGGTCAGGAGTTCGAGACCAGCCTGGCCAATATGGTGAAACCCCATCTCTACTAAAAATACAAAAATTAGCTGAGTGTGGTGGTGTAAGCCTGTAGTCCCATCTATTCAGGAGGCTGAGGCAGAAGAATCACTTGAACCCAGGAGGCGGAGGCTGCATTGAGCCAAGATCACACCACTACACTCCAGCCTGGGCGACAGAGTGAGACTCCGCCTCAGAAAATAAAAACGAAAGAACAATACAGAAATGTACACCCCGAAGATATCACCCAACTGCCTGGTCTCAGCTGCCCCTTCCTCCACACAATTCCTAGCAGTGTCTAGAGAGACCCAGGTGACGCGTTGGTGGGCTTGCTTACAGATTTCTCTATCTGCAGAGACGTATACAGATTAATGTATGGTAAATGGGATTTCATTATATAAGAAAATGTCCGTGTTCAGTGACATGAAGTACAGTGCTTCATGCCTATAATCCCAACACTCTGGGGGGCCAAGGACTAGTGTGGGCAACATAGCGAGTCCCTGCGTCTATTTTTTATTTCAATAAAATTTTAAAAACATAAAAAAGGAAAATATCTAATATCTATGATTTTCCAAGATACCAGAGTGGCAAAATGAAATCTTCATCCCACTAATGAGAAAGTTCTAGGCTATGACCAGGTGCTGTAATCCTAGCACTTTAGGAGGCTGAGGCAGGTGGATCACTTGAGGTCAGGAGTTCTAGACCAGTTTGACCAACATGGTGAAACCCCTTCTCTACTAAAAATACAGAAAAATTAGCCAGGTGTGGTGGCTCACACCTTAATCCCAGCTACTCAGGAGGGTGAAGCCCAAGAATTGCTTGAACCCAGGAAGCAGAGGTTGCAGTGAGCCAAGATCACACCGTTGCACTCCAGCCTGGGTGACAGAGAGACTTTGTCTCAAAAAAAGAAAGAAAGAAAGAAAGAAAGTTCTAGGCTGTGGACTACATTAGAGCCCAGGCAGGAGGCTTTTCCAACACTGGCCTGTGGTGTGTGGTTATCCTTCAGCATCGTTACTCTGAGGATTCAGGAACTACAGCAGGGATGGATGCTTTTTCTTTTTCTTCTTTTTTTTTGAGATGAAGTTTTGCTCTT